TATATATATATATATATATATATATATATATATATATATATATATATATATATATATGTATATATATAAAGATATATATATATATATATATATATATATATATATATAAATATATATATATATATATATATATATATATATATTTATATATAGGGTTATTTTTCTCTCTGTCTACTTTCAAACTTTTAACAGCATCTTTTCGTACAGTAGCATTTATTAAGTTCTGCTTATTGTTAAGAAAAACAATAATTATGATTTAAGAAACAAAATTAAAACCCCATTATTTGTGTATATCACAGGTAAAACAAACTGTTGGAAAGTATTTTGATAAAACAAAGCTTGATACGTCTTTGACATTAGCACTTTGTTTAGTTATTAAAGGTTATCTAAGACTGCAAAACATGCACATGCAAAATCTTTAAGTGAAAATGATGGTACTGTAAGACCACCTCTGGAAAGTATTTGTAGATATGGACAAATAATTATATTGCTTGTATCTGTAGCTAGCAAAGGTTTGCAATAATTACATTTGCTTCTTTTGATTAATTTTTTAGCAATGTAACCTGCTATTGTTGTTGCAACTTCTTCTGTTTCAGGTGAGAGATTTGATTCAGATATCTCATTTGAGTCATCTATAAGCATTGCTTGAGAACGCAGAGTTGTGATGAGAGCCGATGATGTTTGTTGTGATAAGGTAAAATATGGAGATTTCTGCCAAAGTTCAATCCAATTAGCTAATTGTCAAAAAAAGGTTGTTTTAACATCATTAAGAATAATCGCATTACCAAGTTTATTTGGGCTAAATCGCTCTTTAGAATTTGAAATAGTCCACCATTTGTGAAAAATTTTAAGAAAACCAAAAATGTCTTTACGTTCTAGAAAATAACTCTTGAAACTTACAATTGTTGTTTCATCAAAAATTGATAGTGCAAGAGAAACGTTTTGCTTTTTGTTACCAGGGTGAAGACTCTGATATAAAATTTTTGGAGTTTTTCGTAAATTGCCTTGAAGTTTCTCATCTTTAGAATGTAGATGATGAAAATATCCCCAAGTAATATAACCAGCTGGACAATTATTAGAATCATCTTTTATAATGAATGTAAAGGATGGAAAGACAAATTTTTTACAGTGTAATAAATTATTTCTGATATTTTTAACAAGATGAACACTATCATAAAATAAGTATATTTTAGTATTTGGACTATCAGGATGATTAATAAAGAAATTTGATTGATTACCAAATTTGGAACAAAGCAAACTAAATGCACTTACATTCGATTTATGATTATCGGTAACAACACCTCGAATTTTAAAACCAGATAGCGAAAGAGAACTAATAGAATCGGATATTTGATCTGAAAACCACTTACCACTTATGTTAACTTCAGGTATCGCTTTAATAATGAAAGGAATTGATTTTTTTAAACTAACTATCATAAATGCAACAACTCCTTTGTACAAAGTACCTGTATCATCTGCACCCACATAAATACCACTACAATATTGTGCTTGTTTCTGAAGATAAAATTCATCTACAATTAATATTACATCTTCATGTATTGAACCTTTCTCACGAAGTGTTTTAACAACCTTTATTGCATAAACTTTAGTAAAATTTTAACAAGCTTTATTGCATAAACAACCTTTTAACAACCTTTATTGCATAAACAACCTTTTAACAACCTTTATTGCATAAACATAAGTAAAATTTCATATGCTTGTTTAGATGTATATCTTAATAATAAAGCATGCCTAATCATATCAGCAGAATATTGTGGTTGACCCTTGGCTTTATAGTATGTTCGACTATTTATTTCATCAAGAAGTATATTTCTATTAGAAGAAGCTGTATTTTTTATGTACGCTGCAAGATTTTCTAACATACTCAAACTAGTTAATTTAGAATTACGACCTTTAGATAACCATGGAGAAAGTGGAACATTATTTCCTTTATATTGCAAAGCTACACATAAGCAATAATCAATTTTTATTGATTCAAGAATTGATGGAAAAAATGTTATAGGATCAAATGTTAAATTATAATAAACTACACAATTGAGATATTTTTTAAATTGGAAACCTTCTGGTGAATGTTTAATACTTAGCATGGTCTATTCAGTAACTTTATCATTTTCAGAAAAAGAACTAAGTTCATCTTCTTGAAAAATGCGACTTTTAGGTGGTCTTCTCAAAGCAATAGGCGATGGTAATGTGGAAGATCGTTTTAAGCAATCACTGGAAAATTTCAGGAATAGGATCTAGATTCCAATTTAACTTGCATTTTTTACCACGGATGATAAACTTTTCATTAAAATGCTTTTCACACAAAACGGAGTTTGGTGAAGGCACCCAATCAGTTCGATTAACAAAATGAACCCAATAATTCAGTAACTGTTGATTTTTTAACGGAAAATGAAAAGAAGCAATTTTTTTATCTTCTAAAGAACTGTTGTATCCAGTTTTACAACCATATGCAACACACTTGTTAACCATGATATGATTCAGCTTTTTTAGTATTTATTAACTTTCTAAAACAGTTATTATATATATATATATATATATATAATATATATATATATATATATATATATATATATATATATATATATATATATATATATATATATATATATATATATATATATATATATATATATATATATATATATATATATATATATATAATTTGCAAGTTCTACTTATTATGCAAGTTGCTTTTTATTTTGCATAATATGTAAGTTTAAAATGAATAGTTTTATCATTCAACTTATTGTCTTTTTTTGTGCGAAAATAGGCCTCTTGGAATCGGCCTCTAAAATGTAGCATATACGGCCGTATAATATAGTAGGCCATGAGATATATAATAAAAACTCTTTTGATTATATGTTTGTATATTTACCAAATGTTGTGGAACAACAACATTTTACACTGGTAATATTCACTTGGTAATATTTTTCATTCAGGTAATAAATCTCAGGTAATAAACGTTTATTAAAATTTATTAAATATTATATTAAATTATTAAGTGTTTTACGAAACTTAAATCAATATTGTCCTATACATATTGATTTATTTTATTTACGTTTTTTTAAGAAAAAACAAAAAAAAAACACACCTATTTCTCAACTTTTTACATGTGTTACATTAGTCTGCGATATTCATCCTGTGACAACGAAAAAAAATCTGTATTTAAAACTGTATCTATCATCTGCATTTATCATCTCTTACGCTTGCTTTTCAGGTATATTTATTTACTCGTGAATTTACAATCTGTATTTATCATCTCTTACGCTTGCTTTACACGTTTTTTGAAGATGAGTTATACCTTAATAGAATTTTCAAAATATGTATTAGATTATAATAGTTTAATATAAATAAGCTTGGTAACTACTTGTTTTCTTGAAAGTTTTCACATTCAATTAAAATTATTGTTTTTAGCTTACATTATTAAGGAAATGTTGATCTTACGCAAACCTTAAAAACACGTGTTTACGTATAAACTTGTTAAAATACTCAATTCTTATTCAATTATCGTGTAAAAGACATTTATTTTTTACACGAAAGTAATTTTTATTTTTTGGTGGGGATGGGTTTTAGGAAGATAAAATTGGTTTTAGGAAGATAAAATTTTAAATTTTGGAAAATGACTCACCTTATTTTTAATCGATTACTGCTCCCAAAAATTAAAAAAAAAGTTTTTACTTCTTTAAATATTTCATTCTCCCGCCTCAAGAAATAAACAAAAATAAAAACATAAAAACAAAAAATGAAGACAATTTCAAGTAAAACTTTAGTGAAAAATAAACTTTGCTTTTTAAATTTAAAATTAAATAGATTTTAAAATTAAAACTAAATAAATATAGTGTTATACAATAACTTTGTTTTTTTTATAAAATAAAAAATGAAAAAAGAAACATATAATAAACATATATATCACAAAACATATTATTTTATTACAATAAGTTTTTGTTTTAAAAATATCACAACAACAATAGCAACAGCAACAACAACAACAACAGCAACAACAACAACAACAACAACAACAACAACAACAACTATTTTAACTACACTAAGCAGTGATATAACATAACAAGTTTTATTCGGTTTAACTTCATTTTCTTTCGTTTTTATTTATTAAGTTTTTGCTTATCTTTACTGTAGTTTTTAATTTCGACTTTTGACCTACGAAATATTTCCATGTTTCACTTGAATTTTTTATTTGAAGGTCATTTTCGATTTCGGAATATTATTCTTTAACTTTTTTCGTCTTTTTTTTTTAATTTCGAAAGATAGTAAGCTCCCAATTTCTCCAAAAATTCGTTGGTTTTCGCGTCTAAAACTGTTTTAAATAAATAAGTTTACTGAATTGTAAAAAGAACTAAGTAATAAAAAAATTTGAAACAGAACCCTAAAACAAAAATTAAAAGCAATAAAGAAAAAAAAATTAGATATAAAATTATTTTAATAAATGTATATTTTTACATTTTTAAATTTTATTATTATAATTTTTATTTTATTATTTGATGCTTACCGTTTTCCCCAGGTGGTTCATTGCATCCAGTCCATCTAAAAGAACGGCACCCAGATGACACATATGAAAAGAGGAACAAGTAGGATATAAAAAATATAAGTATAACTGAACCTGACATTTTAAAGATTATGTCCAACTAATGCTGGAAAATATCTGTTTAGCTTTTAAACCGAATCTGCATGTGGTTGATAAGAATAGAGTGACAGGTTAATTGAAATGTTGATAAAAATCAATTGGTTGTCCAATAGATTTCTTCAACAACAATAGATTAAACAATAGATTATAAAAATTGATTACCAGTAGACGGGTTAAGGGAACTAAACAAATAAATCAAGACAAAAACATAAACGTTAAAGGAAATAAAACAAGTTAGTTATATGGAATCTTTCCGTTGACATACTCAGTTGTCGACTAACAAGAAATGGATTGCATCAAAAAATTTAAGTTGAAAACTTAAAATTTTTATTAATTTATTTTCATTTTTAATTTTTTATATAAATAATGGACTGAACTAATAATATTATTCGTTCAGCCCATTATTTATACCAAAATTTTTCAAATTATTTTATCTCGCAAAGAAAAGCAACAAGTCTTTTTGAAAAAAAAAAACAAAACCGAAAACTGAATTATTCAGAATAAAGATTCCGCTATGCGCACACGTCAAATATTAAAAACCATATTCTCTCCTAGTTGGATAATTAAGTAATAAATGCTATTTGTACTATAGTTACGCAATATAAAAATTTGCAAGCACATAAATAAAGTTTTGATAGAGTATGGACTAAAGAACTTTTAGTTTACTCATTCATGATGAAAGTATCTACCTGGTGGACCCAACTTTGATTCGCCCTCATCAAGTTAAACATTACTATGTTCAACTTTTGTTTTTAAGGAATTGATCTGGTGTTTTACTTAAACGTTTCACTTTCACAGTAAATCCAAAAAGTATTATCCACAATAACTTATGCGGTAAACGCAAACATTTGGTTTACTGAACTATAATTTGATTCTATTTTGAGATTTTGAAAACTTTATTTTTAAAAAACCAAGTTTGTTTGACAACCAAATTATGAAAAAATTAGTCATATTCATTTTTTCTAACTAAAGATTATGATAAAAAAATTATGATTCCATGAAAATATTTTAAACATTTGGGAACCTTATTTTATAAAAAACAAGTTCGTTTAACAACCAATTTATAAAAAGTCTAATTCATGTTTAGTAACTAAAATCATAATTAATCAAACAGTTTAATCTTTTGAAAAAATATTGATAAAAATACTGCTTAGTTCTGCAAATTTTTTTGAGAGATTATGAAAAATTATTCTGCAAATAATTTTTCATAATCTCATACTCATAAGTTCATTTCACACACCCATACATTGCCTATCAAGCTTTTACACACCCTTACATCACCTTAAATAACTTAACATAACCGCAACTTAATTTGAATGTTATATAACAATCTGCCATAGTTTACCGTACAAACTATTTATCTAGAAAAAGATTTTTATATGTAACAGTTTTAAATAAAATATCATTAACACAATTTCAGTTTTCACATAATGGTCTAAAGGTTAGTAATAAAACTAAAATATTTTTTATAGAAACATTAATTTGATAATGATTCATTTAACTTGGCATTATCAAACTGTTGAATCATATTGAACTTAAATAAATTTTTTGCACTTTGACCTAATATTGCAACATTATTTGTAGTAAGGATTATATCCTTAAATTTTCACAAGCAACCGCATTTAGTTAAAATTATTTTATAAGGAAGTGATTTAAGTTTCTTATTCTTTATTAACCTTTAAAAAATTATTAAATTTTTACATTTGCATAAGAAATTATTTTTTATTTGACACAATAATAACTTAAAATTAACTTATTGATTTTTTTCTGAAATCAAAAATTATAACTTTGATTAAAATTAGAAAAAAAGTATTTATAAAAATAAAATATTTAACAAATGACTCATCTTTGCATAATAAACATGTTATATTTAATTTTGGACTAACCTGAATTTATTTTTTTGAACTTTGTCATAAAATTGCAACATTATTTGTAGTTAGGATTATATCCTAAACTTTCAAAAAACCCCGCTCTGCAGCTATTTGTATTTATAACTTTTGAAACTATATATTGTACAGAACATTTGTTACGTGATTTACATAATAAATTTTCTTATGTATAAAATTTTTAAGGCTAATAATTATAACGCACAGTGGGCCAGAAATCACTTTTAATGTACTAAATTATAAATAACTAAATATTGGGTTTTTATTTACTCAAATTGGCACGAGTACTAATATGAGGTCTGCGCTTCATATGAAAGTGATAGTTTTATATTTAATTGGTATGGATATTTTGCTTAGCAACAACCTATTTTTGGTAGTTGCAGATGTTTTATGTGTTTTATAAACCCTATTTCGTGCATTAAAATGAGGTTTGCAATTCTTCTGAGGGAGATATTTTTCATTTGTTTGCTTTGAACACCTAGTTTTATGAAACCTAATTTGCGTAGCAACAACATAATTTAATAGTTACTGATTTTTTACGAGTGCCATATTTACTAAATTTGAAATGAATACCAATACGAGGTCGCACTTTATATATAAGTCATAATTTTGTTTTTATTAAGTTGCTATGAATATATATATTGTTTAACAAACGGATACTTTTCTTAGTTACACATAGATAATTAGATTTTTAAATAAATTTGTATCAGATTTTCAACAGTCCTCTTTTAAGTATTTATTATATTTTAGATATTTAAGTAATTCACTTTATATAAAGATTTAGGTAATTAACAATAAAAACAAAAAATAGAGCAATAAAACATTGAAAATTTGAAATACATCAACAATTTATAAAACATACATGCAAGCATAAATAAGAAATAATATGATGAGTTTAATCCAGAGTGTAACCACAGTTTTAATATTATGGAGGCTAATGATTCTTTTAAAGGAGGCAGAGGGTAACAAAAAGTTTTGATTTTCATTTGAATGTATATTTAATGATCATCAAACTCGACATATATGAAACAAATAAAAAATGTAATACTTGCGTCAAACAACGTTTATCTCTACAAAAATGGAAACTGAAATTTCCAAAAATGTTTATTTGTTTGGCATTTTTTAATAAAGAACTAGCAAGTTGTTTAGGCGGGAATCTGTTGTTGTCAATCAAAGGTAGGTTTTAACTCTTTTTAAGGCGGAGAAAGATCTTTCATTGAGAGCATTAGTAGCTGACATGACAAGAATTAGCTTGGCAATCCTTACAACTTCGGTAAGTAAAGCTCTTTTAGAGTGATCCAAACTCTTAAAAAACAAGATGAAATTTTTGATAGTGAATTTTTTGATTTTGTTACCTAATGATGTTGCGATGCTTGGGGGAAAAGCAGTTTGTGTTTTAGCTAAAAATTGGGTAGTGTCTTGGAAGTAAAAGTAGCAAACTTATGGCATATAATTTTCCCAACTTTCCCTTTTATTTGATTTGAATAGAACTTCCTGAAGATCAATATGTACTTTATAAACAGGTTGATCAAACCTCTGTTTTATAAAACTAATAATGAGATTGAAAGCTTCAAAATAAAATTGGTGATAATTTTTTTTGGTGAATCATGCATTAAATAGGTTTTTTGTGGGTAAAGAGTTGTTTTTAAATACTCTGGCATTTTCTTTTTTTTCAAGAGTTTAGGGTCAGCGACACCAAGCTGGGCTTTCCATTTCATAGTACGTTCTCAAAACAGTTCGTAAATTTTGCTGCTTCTGGATTTTTCAGAACATTAACAATTTGAGATGCAAAATTCTTTTCTTCCTCTGCAGAAATACTTTGACCTTGGAGTGCCTTACTTAGATTGTCTGTTTGTTTCAGGAGGCATTTCCCTAAATAGCTGTAATTTTCTTGCTCGAAACAAAACTTCTTTTCTTTCCAAAAATTGGTATTGTGGTTTATCCTCCTCCAGCTAATTGCCATATAGAGGCCACATTACCAAAGCTCGCAAAGACAGGTTCGGCTCACCAAGGAGCGTCATAACCCGCTCTACGGACCAAGAGTAAAGTGAGTTTAGGAAGAACGAAGATGTTAGAGTGAAAGACAGAAGTAGTCGTGTTAGAAAGATAGCATAAAGAAAGCGGACAGGATTGCACTCAATGTTAGGAGGTGCAATAGATTAAAATAGGTTCTTTCCAAAAATTGGTATTGTGGTTTATCCTCCTCCGGCTAATTGCCATATAGAGGCCACATTACCAAGGCCCGCAAAGACAGGTTCGGCTCCCCAAGGAGCGTCATAACCCGCTCTACGGACCAAGAGTAAAGTGAGTTTAGGAAGAACGAAGATGTTAGAGTGAAAGACAGAAGTAGTCGTGTTAGAAAGATAGCATAAAGAAAGCGGACAGGATTGCACTCGATGTTAGGAGGTGCAATAGGTTGAAATAGGTTCTTTCCAAAAATTGGTATTGTAGTTTATCCTCCTCCGGCTAATTGCCATATAGAGGCCACATTACCAAGGCCCGCAAAGACAGGTTCGGCTCCCCAAGGAGCGTCATAACCCGCTCTACGGACCAAGAGTAAAGTGAGTTTAGGAAGAACGAAGATATGTTAGAGTGAAAGACAGAAGTAGTCGTGTTAGAAAGATAGCATAAAGAAAGCGGATAGGATTGCACTCGATGTTAGGAGGTGCAATAGGTTGAAATAGGTTCTTTCCAAAAATTTATTTATTAACTTGAATTCAACTCATCTTAAAAAAGTTTTACATCCATTTATATAATAAATCTTCCCACAAAATCAACATTACAAAAATCGCTTAATACGTAACTACAATTAAAATAATTAAAAACTATTAGTAAAAGAAACCACGTAATTGCCGTAGAATGTTCTAGAATTTTCTCCACTTTATTTACATTCCTCCTTGGTCTTTACGGATCATACAAATAATAATCGTCGTACTTTTGGGGCATGCGTCGTTCTCGAGTACTTCGTGACAAAGACACGGTTTCTTGGAATCCATTTTCGGCTTTACCATTTCCTTGTAACACGTCGTCTCCAACACATTTTTAATTTGCTCACCATGGTTTGCCGCGTTATCTTGACCATTGTTTGCGTTCACTTTAGGAATATCGCATGGTTGATTGTTATTTCGATATCGGATATGTTTCACATGACGCGGAACGCCATTATTTTCGACAACTTGTTTCGAAACTTTCCCGTTAGTTTTGCTGGCTGCCATTCAAGTTTCAAGTTCAAGGGGAAATCAAAAGGGTTTAAGGGTAACTCAAAAATTTTTCGAGTTATCCGGAGTTCAAGTGCTCCTCGCTCGCAAAAGATTAGGCGGAGTATTTGAGTAATTGCAATACTACCGTATGAACTTGTAAGTTGTCGCAACAGTGCGTATCTTGAAGGTCCGCAATCAACCAGAGTTAAGAGTTTTTCTGTGCCAAAATGTGTGATATCCATGGCCAC